TTCTAAAGACGACCAATTCATTGGCATACCCATCAGAGGTGGATAAAGTTTGGTAAATAATAAAAGACAACTTACCACTGCTACACGGACCACTATTGCGGTAAGCATGTTGTAACTTCCGGTTGTTGTCATCTCCGGGTATCCCGTGTGTCCGTTCTGTTGCTGATAGCTTATTATCTTAACTTAATCGATCGTTTTAAAACTCTTGATCACGGCAACTGCCTGACGTTGTAATCACACGTTACTATAACTTAAGCTCTCACAACTCTCCTTCTCTTAGCGACTGTAACTCCACAGTTGCCTACACTCTTTTCGGGTTTGCTAACGGTAGCTACTTTAGCTTGATAGCTAGCCATGGCTCTTTCCCCACCCTCGGGTGCTATTTCCTGCTCTAACTGTCTCATGTTTGGTTACTTCCCTACCTCCTTTACTGGTACCGGTACATGTGTTAAATGTAGTATAGTTGTTAGGTTGGAGGCGGGAATCATAGCCATAGAAGCCCGGCTCCGCATCTTAGAAAGAAACTCAGCTACAGTAAAGCCCATGTTAGCCGGTGCGGACCGGCAAAAGGTAGCTCCTATTAGCCGTCCCCCGGCAACTCCCGAGCAGCAGGGAGACTGGGTGACTGTTCAGAAGGGGCATAACGCGAAACCCGCAGGTCCCCACCAACCCGTTCACGTATCTAACAGATATTCCCCACTCAGCGAGACACCCGCTGAGAAGCCAACTCTGGTTATTGGTAGCTCTATTATGAGACACGTGAAATTAGAGACCGAAGCCTCCACAGTCACATGCATTCCGGGGGCCAGAGCGGGCGACGTTGAGGCGCATCTTAAACTGCTGGCTAAAAATAAACGTAAATACAGTAGGATTGTTATTCACCTCGGTGGTAATGATGTTCGTATACGCCGATCAGAATGCACCAAACTTAATGTGGAGTCGGTGTGTAGTTATGCTAAGACAATGTCGGACACCGTAATCTTCTCTGGTCCCCTCCCCAATCTGATCAATGATGACATGTATAGCCGCATGTCATCATTTCAGCGCTGGTTGTCTTGGTGGTGCCCAGCAAACAATGTGGGCTTCGTAAATAATTGGACAGCCTTCTGGGGAAAACCTGGTCTGATTAAGGGAGACGGCATTCATCCTACTTTGGAAGGTGCCGATCTCATTTCGGCAAACATTTCAGGGCTTTGTGGACTTAATCCATGACAAACTGGAGTTGAGACCAGGAGGCGGAGTCGCAGTCGCAGTCTTACACGCTTCTCTGCGCTCTCTCCTAGGCAGTCATCCATAGGAATCCCGAACCCAATAAAATACCCAATATTAGCGGTGTGTGTGTCTGCCCAAGGACAAGTTAAGGTAAAACCTAATAGAGGTGTCATACATAATAACCTAATCAAAGTAAATGTAACAACTACTACAGTGCAACAAAACAGGAATATTAAATGTGGTCTCTTAAACATAAGATCTCTAGCATCTAAAGCAATATTGGTAAATTATTTAATATCAGATTATAATATTGATATATGCTGTCTCACTGAAACTTGGTTGAGACATGAAGAATATGTCAGCATAAATGAGGCCACTCCACCCAGCCATATCAATACTCATATTGCCCGAGGCACGGGCCGAGGAGGTGGAGTTGCAGCCATCTTTGACTCAAGTTTACTTATCAATACTAAACCAAAATTAAATTATACCTCCTTTGAAAGTCTCGTTTTTAGTCTTACGCATCCGACCTGGAAAACTTTGCAGCCAATCTTATTTGTTACAGTGTACCGTGCACCAGGTCCTTATTCAGAATTCTTATCTGAATTCTCTGAGTTTTTATCAACTTTGGTTCTTAAAACAGATAAAGTAATTATCGTAGGTGACTTTAATATTCATGTTGACGATGATAAAAATAGCCTTACTGTTGCATTTAACTCTATATTAGATTCTGTTGGTTTTTGTCAGAGTGTAAATAAACCAACCCACTGCTATAATCACACTCTCGACCTTGTTCTGACTTATGGTATTGAAATTGAGCAACTATTAGTCGAACCGCATAATCCTGCTTTATCCGACCATTTCTTAGTAACTTTTGAAGTACTGTTACTAGACTACAAAGCATTAGTCAAAAGCTCCTGCAGCAGAAACCTATCTGTTAGTGCTATAGCCAAATTTAAGGAAGAGATTCCACCAATACTTAACTCGATAGCATGTCTGCATGTAAGGGAGGAAACTTATACAAAATGTACACCACCCCAAATTGATCATGTTGTTGATAGTGCTACAGATGCGCTGCGAATAAAATTAGACTCTGTTGCTCCTTTGAAAAAGAAGAAAATAAAACAACATAGACTAGCTCCATGGCATAATGCCGAAACCCGCAAAATAAAGCAAAAGTCGAGACAACTTGAAAGGATATGGCGTTCTACTAAACTTGAAGAATCTCGTTTAATTTGGCATATTACTCTCAATGAATATAAGAAAGCATTGCGTAAAGCGAGAGCAGCTTACTACTCTTCATTAATAGATGAGAATAAGAATAATGCAAGATTTCTTTTCAGCACTGTAGCCAGGCTGACAGAAAGCCACAGCTCGATTGAGCCTTCTATTCCCATAGCACTCAGTAGTAATGATTTTATGTGCTTTTTTAACTGATAAAATTGTTACTCTTAGAAACAAAATTAATGACCTCTTGCCTTTGACCAGTATAGTGTTATCAACAGCTCCCGGAAACGTAAGTTCTAATATTACACTAGATAGTAAACTAGAATGCTTTTCAGCCATAAACCTTGAACAATTAAATTCAATGATTCTCTCTTCTAAACCATCAACGTGCATGTTAGACCCAATTCCAACTAAGCTGTTGAAGGAAGTTTTTCCATTAATTAGCACTTATTTATTAAATATTATGAATATGTCTTTATTATCAGGCTATGTTCCACAATCATTCAAAGTAGCAGTGATAAAACCGCTTCTTAAAAAGCACAACCTCGATCCAGAGGTTTTAGCCAACTATAGACCTATTTCTAATCTTCCGTTCCTCTCAAAAATTCTTGAGAAAGCGGTCGCAAAACAGTTGTGTGATTACTTAAAAAACAATGATTTATTTGAAGCTTTTCAGTCTGGCTTTAGAACACATCATAGCACAGAGACAGCTCTGGTTAAAGTCACAAATGACATTCTAATAGCCTCTGACAAGGGACGTGTCTCTATTCTTGTTTTGCTCGATCTCAGTGCTGCATTTGATACTATCGACCATGATATCTTATTGCAAAGACTAGAGCACTTAGTTGGCATACAGGGAACTGCTTTAGACTGGTTTAGGTCCTATCTATCTGAACGCTCTCAGTTTGTACGTGTCAATGATGAATCTTCCACGCAAACCAAAGTTAGCCATGGAGTGCCACAGGGCTCAGTGCTCGGACCTATTTTGTTCACATTATATATGCTTCCGTTAGGCAATATTATAAGGAATCATTCTGTAAACTTTCATTGTTATGCGGATGATACTCAACTATATTTATCAATCAAGCCTGATGAAATTAATCATCTAAATAAAATTCAAGACTGCCTTAAGGACTTAAAAACGTGGATGACCTTAAACTTTTTGATGTTAAACACGACCAAAACTGAAGTTATTGTACTTGGCCCGAAGAATCTACGAAACAAATTATCTAAGGATATACTAACTATGGATGGCATTAATTTGGCCTCCAGTGAGACTGTAAGGAATCTTGGTGTTATATTTGATCAGGATTTATCCTTTAACGCCCACATAAAATCAATTTCAAGGACCGCCTACGTAACATTGCAAAAATCAGGCATATCTTGCCTCAAAACGATGCAGAGAAACTAGTCCATGCATTTGTTACTTCAAGGATGGATTATTGTAACTCTTTATTATCAGGGTGTACCAAGAAGTCAGTCAAGTCGCTTCAGCTGATTCAAAATGCTGCGGCTCGTGTACTAACCAGAGTTAGGAAAAGGGACCACATTACTCCTGTTCTGGCTGCCTTACACTGGCTCCCTATAGAACACAGGATAGAATTTAAAATTCTTCTTCTCGCCTACAAAGCCCTTAATGGGCAGGCGCCATCTTACCTTAAAGAACTCATTATACCCTACTGTCCTACTAGGGCATTGCGTTCCAAGAATGCAGGGTTGTTGGTTGTTCCTAGAGTCTCTAAAAGTACAATGGGAGCCAGAGCCTTTTCTTATCAAGCTCCACATTTGTGGAATCAGCTTCCAGTTTGTGTTCGGGCGGCAGACACCCTATCCGTTTTTAAGAGTGCGCTTAAGACCTTCCTTTTTGATAAAGCTTATAGTTAGGGCTGATTAGATCCAGCCCCTAGTTTTGCTGATATAGGCTTAGTTTGTCGGGGGACATCTTACTTCTTCCTTCTCTCTGTCTATACCTGTGTACTCTCATGTTCCGATTAACCCAGCTTCCCCAAATGTCTTTCTTTTTGGTGTCTATATACGCCGGGATCCTGACTCATGGATGATCCTGCGCTCCTCTGTCCTGGATCGCGAGCCCTGGATCTTGAGTCGTGGCTGGGGTCCTGGATCATAGGTCCTGGATGGATATCCTCGTGGATTCATCTTCCTATTATACACACATGCATTTCCAAACATTTGGACTACCTATGTTGCAAATGTATTATCTTTTCAATTTACACACGGCATCTATTGCACGTCTGTCCGTCCTGGGAGAGGGATCCCTCCTCTGTTGCTCTCCCTGAGGTTTCTCCCATTTTTCCCTTTAAACTGTGGGTTTTCTCCGGAAGTTTTTCCTTGTACGATGTGAGGGTCTAAGGACAGAGGGTGTCGTATTGTCATACTGATATTTTGTACAAACTGTAAAGTCCACTGAGACAAATGTAACATTTGTGATATTGGGCTATATAAATAAACATTGATTGATTGATTGATTGACAACTTCAGCTATTGATCACACACTAATGCTTACCTCCTCTGACCATCCTGTCCTCTTCTCCTTCCTCCAGATACTCCGTCCTGGTCATGGCTGCCCCAGTTCTGCAACCTTCGAGACCTCCGTCGCCGAGCCCAGCTCAGACAGCTGGAGGACTCCAGTGGCAACATGGTCCACATCAAGCAGAAGCTCTACCACAACGGCCACCCTAGTCCCCGCCATCTCTGACTCTAAAAAAACAAAAAAATATTCCTCCACCCCATTCCCTATTCTCCTTTCCAAAGCCCCTCACCCCCTTGGCCAACTGTTGTGTCAGAGACCCTGGAAAACTGCCCTCCCACTGTTCACAACATGCCCCCCTTAAAACCCTGTGACACAACTTTCTTATGACTAAACTTGGCTCCTGTCAGCGCTAAAAAAAAATCCCAAAATGGAACAAGATGATTATTTGTTGCCACTGAAATCTTGTCTAATGTCCATGTCCACCATCGTGGGAGGAGGAAGAAAAAAAAAAACATTTTTAAGGGTGTTTTTTCTGTATAGAGACATTTTCTGTGTTCATTGTTAAACTTGGCATGCTCTTTTAGAACAGGGTAAGATGTGGGCAGCATATTGGAACGGGGCGGCAAAGACGGGTTCAGGATTTTTTTTTCTTTATTGGGTGGGATTGGGACTTTGTTGGTGTTGGGAAGGATGAATCAGATTGGTGGGTGGGTGGGTTTTTGTGATGGCTAGATTGCTGCTTCTGTACATAGTTATAAATACAGGCAAGGGGGATTTAACAGTCTTTAAGAAGAGGGTGCGTGGGGGGATTTTTGTCTGAGTCGTTCAATAGAAAACCTAAATGATGGACTGTGTGGTTAAAGATTATAGGAATGGAACTGGAAAACGAGTCTGTTTGAAAACTGGATGTGAAACCATGTGATTTCTGCTAAAACACAGATTAATTAGCTTTGTTACTTAGTGAATTAACTGAATGTATTAATTTTTCCTGTAAATATGTGAGGGGGAGGGGAGCGTGTTCGGTTGTGGTCGGGGTTCTCTTTGCAATATTATCATTATTTTAGTCGACACAGGAGGAGAAATAAATGCCAGCCAAGACGAGTTCAATACACAAACACCCCTCCATCTTCCCTACACTGTGCTCAACAGCGCAGTTCAATTTTCTTTATTCAATTCCCTCTCACTTATCAGGAGCAACCAGCCTATCAGCAGAGGGAACCCTCACCCAGCCCCTCCTCGTCCTCTCTGTCCAGACATTGCTGTTGTGAGGATGAAATGTCTGTTTTATTAAAAGTGCCATTGAAGCACAACAGTGACCTCTGATGTTTGATTGTGTCACTCCAATCCTGTGAGCGAAGATGGGAACACATTCTCATAGCGAGAGGTTATTTCAGAGCAGCAACAACAGGCAGATTATACAGAGAGGTCCAGCTGACAACTTCAGTTTGTTATTATTCCGACATAAATGTCCTAAGCACTGACTAACAACACTTCTGAAATGACTAACAATGCCAATGGCATGATGACGCTACTGAGAAAAGCCCTCCATTATTATCAACAGCAGGATATGACACATTGCAGTGGCAGTGAGGGTATTTTTTTCATCTTGGTTTTTTCATCTTGGTTGATGCTCTTTAGCATATATACCTCTTATCTGCATGCTGTCCCAATATTAACTTGGTTTTCCATCATTCTTTGAAAAGATGAACTACGACAGAAACTAATAACTATTTTTACAATTGATTAATCTCATAAGTTCAACCCTTATATTGTAAAACAATAATGTAAGATAATTGTTTGTAGTGTTCAACCAGCTGTCTCAAAGCCACAGATTAAAAATATTTAAAACGAAGAAAAGTCCAAATAAATCCTCACATCTGAAAAGCAAAATCCACTAACACATGTATTACCTAATCATTTGGAAGTTTTCTCTTGATGCAGTCAGGAATTTGATTGCATCAATGGTGCAGTTTTTTTTCTTGTTCAGCACATCTTCGAGGAAAAGTCACCTGGGTCTAAAGCGTAAGTGTAAAACACTCTTATCTCAGCAGCGGTAGGCAACAAAATGTGAGTAACTTGAGCATTGTTGGATCTACAGACTAGCTTGACTACATTTAAATAATCGGCTGGCAGAACCCACAGTCATTTTATGAAAGGTAAAATAATTACTTGTCAAGGGCAGGTCTGCACCAGCCCTCTTACTAAGAAGTGCCAGGAAAGAAATGTTCTGAACCAACATTTTTACAGAGGTGCTTTTGAACTCTTGCCAGTACCGGTCAGCAAATACATGAGAACTACCCTTTCAGAGGGCACATTCTCAAAATGTCACACAGCCAGATTTTGAAAACAGCAATGACAACCAAAAGAGAGAAAGAAAGAAAGCAAAAATGCAATACATAACAATTGTAGTGGTCCACAAATGCTTTTACTCAGATTCTTGCAAACTTACAGGCCAGAATACAAACATTACCTTGAAGGCGTTCACAGTAATTGTGTTAAACATTTTTGATAGAATAGCAGACAGACTACAAAGCCTTTCACACCTAGTGTTAACAACATTTCATCAACATCAAGTGATCATTTCTTTGGACTAGGCTTGGCTTGGGGTTTGTCCTTGTTGTCCCCACTCTGTTCATTTGAAAGAGGCTTCTCAGTTTCTACTTCTTCAGTGCTGGTCTGAGAGGCAGCCGACTTCTCAGTGGCTGGACTTGTTTGGGCACCAACCTCAGCAGTCTCGGGCAGTTTCACATCATCTGTAGAGATAGTGTCTGCGTCCTTGGTTGTCAGGAATTCGGGTTCCTTTGAAACCTCTTCTGTTGTGACTTCAGCTTCCTTGGTAACCTCTGCCGGTGTGACTTCGGCTTCCTTGGTAACCTCTTCTGGTGTGACTTCGGCTTCCTTGGTAACCTCTTCTGGTGTGACTTCTGCTTCCTTGAAAACCTCTGCAGATGTTACTTGAGCTTCCTTCGAAACTTCGGCAGATGTTACTTCAGCCTCTTGGGAAACTTCAGCAGATGTGACCTCGGCCTCCTTGGCAGCAATCTCTGTAGCCAAAGTCTGAACCTCTGTGGTAGACCCAATGGCAGAAGTCTGAGGCTCCTTAGCTTCAGTTTCTGTTGAGATGAATTCAGCTTCCTTGGCAGCTGTCTCAGCAATCAAAGGTTCGACCTCCTTAACAAGCTCTGTAGCAATACTCTCTGACTCCTTGACCACATCTGTTACAACCTCTTGGGCCTCTTTAGTAATCTCTAAAGTTTCAGACACAGTTTCCCCCAAAACCTCATTTGAGTCCTTGACAACCGAACTTTCTACAGCTTCGACCTCCTTGGCGACTGCTGCCTCAATCTCCTCACTGACGGTTGCTACGGCATCAGCAACCCTGGCCACATCAGTTGCTATTACTTCAGCCTCTTGAGCCACATCGCTTGCAATTTCTTCCGCAACGTTTGCTGTATCAGTTGCTACTACCTCGGCAACTTTGATGGCTTCAGATTCTACAGCAGCAATGATCGTGGCAGTGGACTCAGTTTCTTGGACTTCAACGACTGTAGCCTCTGGTTCCTGGACAACATTAGAGATGACGGCATCTAATTTCTCCTCCTGAGCAACAGCAGTGACTGTTGTTTCCGAGTGTGCTAGAACATCTATTTCCTCCTTGACTACTTCAATGGCCTCGGTCTCTCTACTAACGGCCTCGGTCTCTCTACTAACAGCAACGGTCTCTGTGGCGCTGGAAGCTGGTATGCTCTCGGCCTCTATAACTTCAGCGACTACTTCTTTCACCTCAGGCACAACAGTGTCTGTAGCTACAGCTGTGCCAACAACCTCAGTTAGGTCCTTAATGGCTTCAACCTCTTGCACCAACGGAGCAGCAGAGGCTGTTTCAACAATGGTTTCAACTGCAATAGCTTCACTTTCTTTAACCAAAGTGGATGCTTCTTTAAGGATAGCTTCTGCCTCTAATTCTATAGGCAGAGCAGCTGCTTCCACCTGGGCAGCGCTGCCCACAACATTAATGAGGGGAAGGACTTGTTGTATAGTTGGGGTTTGTGCAAGTGAAGCAGCTTCCTGGGCTGTGACTTCTGCAGCCATTTCCTTAGGGACAATTACACCGAACTTGCCAACACCCGCACCTGCTTCCATAAGCAGCCAGTCCATTTTCTGTGCATGCTGCTTGACGGCTTCCTCAACTCTTGAGTCAATCATTGCTTCGGTCAAAACTCCATCTTCAGAGGAGTATGCGGCAGCCTTCAAGGAAAACAAAATCAGTACAAAGGTTTGCTTTACATTTTTTATGAAGCAGATTCATATTTTGTGTCAACAAGATGTTCAACTCACCTGCCAGGCCACACCAAGTTTGGAGATTTCACGGCCAGACATGCCTTCTGCTCGCACTGCAATTTCTGAACACTTCTGGCCATAGTCGAACTGAGTCAACTTTAATCTCCTGTTGAATTAAAGCACAAGACGTTTGTAAAGGAGGTAAGGCTTGAGCTTAGCTTGTTTCTGATCATTGATCCTCTGCACATTTACTGGTTTTAACTGTCCAATACACTTTATAACAGCTTCTGTGCTAAACTTCCTGAGGACTTAAACAACATTTAATAAAGCAATAAGTAAAGATTCAGACACCACTTTGGTTTCAGGACGGAACACATTACATACAACATTATGCAACCGGAGCTAGTAATGCAACCTCTAGGGACCAATTACTTCATTTGCAGTAGAAAATATCCTCTGCAACAGAACTGCTGCAGTAGCTGTTTGATATTAATATACAATAAGTGTACTCACTGTCTTCCTGTAGTTGCAGGACCCAGCACAAATTTGTCGAAATACAGGCGCACCAATCTTTCCCTCTCTTCTTGACCAGGTAACGCAAAGTTTACGATCTCATCAATGCGGTCATTAATGGCCCAGTCGAACTGCTCTGGTTGGTTACTAGCAAGCACCAGCATGAACCTGAAGAGAGAGAATGAGACTGTTTAGACCCAGCCAGTGACCTTTTCATTCATGGCAATGACCTTTTCACGCCCAGCCATGCACAGCGAATCACGTAAGATACCGACTTGTTGCTCTGCTCCCCAGTGCGGTAGAGGAATGCATTCAGGGTGGCTCTGAGGTCCTCACTGATTTTCTCCTGCAATGCAAAAATCATGACTCATGAATATATGATGAAAACACAGGGCATCATCACCATGCATATGGTACTGCAGCTGAACTCACTGTGGATCGCTTACGCAGGAACGCATCGGCTTCATCCACGAAGAGCAAGACGCTGCAGAGAATAAGAGAACATCAAAGGGAATGTGCTTAAAAAAACTTCCATTTTTGTATGTAAATCACCTTACTTTAATCAGAGCAGCAAGATAATGGCAGCTTTTTATGCAACATGAAACACAGTCGATACTAATGAACTCTCCGAGTCAATATTCAGAAGATGATACACTTTATAGCACTAATTTATTGAGTGTAAATGAAGCATATTAAAGTGTTGTACCCTCGCCTGCTGGTGCTGGCCCAGTCAAACACCTTGTGCATGGCAGTGACTCCATCGCGCCCCAAGGGTGCCACGTCCCCACCTGTCATGATGGCATAGTCCATCCCTGAATGGAGAGCCAGTTTCTGAAAGGCAAAAGAATGTGCTTTGTTTAAAAAGGAACAGGGAGGCAATAAAGGAAAAATAGAAATGCACAACAGTCTTAGAAATATCAAGTAACAATTAAGCTAAATATACTGATTTACAAAGGGGCGCCATCTAAAATTAATGAAAGAAATATACTCAAAATGTATCAAAAATATTGATTAAATGTTTTCAACAATAAAGGAAAAGAACAGAAAATCCAAAATCCAGTCATACCTTGGCAAAGAGTGTTTTTCCAGTTCCAGGGGGGCCATACATCAGGATGTTTCTGTACAAGCCTTTGTTCTGCCTGGTGTTACGAGTGGCGATGGCAATATCCCTTACTCGTTCCTCCAAATTGGCCTGTGTAATCAACAATTCAATGACAGCATTTTTCACAAAGTCTTAAAAAGAGCATTTGAATGTTGAATTTAAAATATTTCAATAAAAAAAAATCCATGAAGCGTAAATGACTCACGCTGAGCACCACGCCCTCCAAGGCATCCTGAGGTCTGCTTCTCAGACGCTTGGTTGTCTACAAATTAGAATAAGGGAGTTGGATGGTGACAAATCATTTAATGGCTAAAACACAGTCATAGTTATTGTGTCTAATACATATTTTAATATAATTTCTTATTATCTAGCCATAATATACAGAACATCTAAATTAATCCTTTAACACTTTTTTATTCTGCTTTGCTATAGATATATAAAGCTATGTTTAGTCTAAAAACAGATGTTGGGGGATTTTTTTAAATACCCCTCACATATAGTCAATTTAGAAGGAATATAAAGTGAATATATTGCAGATGTCCCATGGATAACACATCGATTTTAACAATGTCTGGTAAAAAATATATACATTTGATGAACTACCATGATTTAAAGGCTGATATAAAAATCTCAATTAAAACAAGACTCGAGAAAATGTTCAAATAAAACTAAATAATCTCTATGTGGATATATGCTGCCTGCATCTATTTCGTAAGCAAAAGATGGTTAATTTGATCAGTAGGTTCAACCAAAAACATGATTAGTGAAAACATGGAAATAAGTATGTATATTGACCGTGATTGGGTGTTTGATGCCTTCTACAACAGTTATCCTGGAGGTCTCTCGGACCAGTGATGGTTTCCCCAGACGAGACTCTATGAAGCGGCCGGCCACCGCTGTGGCATTCCTGGCCGAATACACTCCTGCTGCCAACAGAGTCAACCCAGCAACCTATGGATAGGCCAACACACACATCTTCAAATATACTGTACAGCAGTGGTTCTCAAACTTTTTGTCTGACAGGAGAGGACTCTCCTCCACTTTGTTGTTGAAAAAAACTCTTTATATCCGTTAGCGTAGCTCGCTAGCACCAGAAGCTAACAACTACGAGAGAAAACACACACACACACACACACACACACACACACACACACACACACACACACACACACACACACACACACACACACACACACACACACACACACACACACACACACACACACACACACACACACACACACACACACACACACACACACACACACACACACACACACACACACACACACACACACACACCCCCTTGTCTTTATTACATTCTGGGGGTACCTGACCAGACCATCCCTTTTGGGGTCCACCCTTTCTGAAGGTTGTACAGCACTGTAAAAAATCAGGCAGAATCCTGAAGTGGACTCAAACAAAGATTTCACTTCAAATTATCAATCAGAGAAAGTAGAGGTCACTGACCGGACTATAACCCGTTTCATGGGGTCTTGTCAGGTACAGAGTTACAGGAGGGGTCCATATATACACACTGTCTGGCTTTTAGTCATGTGTGGGCTCCAAAAATACACTGTCTGGTTTAAAACATTAGTGGGGCCACTTAGCACACTATTACTAAACTTACTTTAGGTAACAATGCAACACCTTTGACTGTCAAAGTGAGGGCTATCATGATGCAGAAGGATTTTCACCTTTAGTGTCAACATGTAGCTTCTGTTGTGACACAATTATATTGAATTCTAATGTACTGATAGCATTTTAATTAATATTTAAGCTATTATAGTAATGCTTTTTATTAGTCTATTTAACCACTGTGACACAGGGATGTCTGAACTCGTGAATGAGACTCACAGTACATTTACTGAATTTGCATCAGTTTCCTTCTTTTTAAATAAAGAGGGGTTTGTGTTCTAAGTGTTAATTATTGGAGCCATACAAGTCATGCTTATATGGGTATTCTGCTTAAATAGTCATTGTAATTTCCATTTAAGCAATACAATGTTATTATAGAGCTTTCCAGTAAATACAAGGAGATTGTCGTTATTAGACTTTTAATTATTACATACAATACATTAGAATACATTATTATTTATATATATAAATATATATATATAATAATGTATTTCCAGATGATATTGAAAGAAATGAGGAAATTGAAAGTGTGAAAAGGGACAAGATTAAATTGTGTTAAGAAAAAAACAAGATAATATGAGAAACTAGAAGAGATGATAAGGTAGTTCAGATAAAAGGAAGATTACAAAAAAGAGATGAGATTTAAAAAGCATAGAGGTAAGAGAAGATCAAATAGATAAGGTTGAAGAGGAAATTGTGAATAATTCAGATAAAAGAAAAGGAGGTATTAAGAGGACATCAATGAGGGGTGAAAGAAGAAATAAAGTATGATCTATATATTTGTATAGCGGCTTACATCAAACATTTAACTTTTGCAAGCATTACACTTTACAAAAAAAAGTAATGGTGTCAACAGACATCAATGATCACTTTACATTTTGCTCTTGAGAGCTGTGATCCGATTCTTTATATAAAACTTTATGGCCAACCAATTTCTTTGTTTGAGTGCTTCTCCTTCCATTTTAAGACACTTATCGCAGTCGCTTTTCCGCGGAACGCGACATGTGTTAATGAAAGACATCAGGTGCTTCTCAACAGCTTGGATCTCCGTCTTTTCCCACAGCTTTTTCTTGAAAGGCTGCCGACCTGTATAAAAATGACAAATACATTATTTTGTGTTTTTCTGGAACTGCTATGGAAAAGTTATTTGAGAGAAAAAGTTGATAGAATTTATTTACATATTATGCTACTTGTTGTTATTCATATATGTCTGTCTCCATTTTAGATTCTGTAATAAATCAATATTGATTGGTACAAAACATAATAATAAATAATAATACACATTAAGTAGTTTTACGACATTCTCCCAGAATGTCAGCAATAATTCTGATTCCATTGACCTTAGATATAAAGGGCATGGTGGCAGAAGTTTCAGAGGAGAATATCTCAAAACCTCACACATGAACGTACCAAAACTACTGCATAATCCTGGTGGTAAACTAGGTATACATTTTCTAATGCGTTTGAAATAACCCCTTTACATTGGATTGAAACAAAGAAAAATTGCTAACCAGTAACTGAAAATGCAAGAGAGCAAATAGAAGATGCAAATGTAATGTTATATATTCAAAAGAGTTAACATTATACACAAGCAGATCTAAAATATGTCAGTGTAGAACCATGAAACATTACATCAACCATGGAAGAGCATTCAGTAACAAAGTATGGTCTAAAAAGTTGACCTTTTTGCCTTCTCTCGGTCTGTGGTTGAGCGGCTGGTGGAGGTGTCATAGGGCCCTGTTGCGATGCTTCATCTGTATTGCTCCCATCTCTCATTGATGTTTTATTCTCCATCTGAGTGGATGTGACTTGACCCTCTGAAAACCAGATATACAAAATAATCAATTAGGTGTTGCAAGAAAATTAGATATATCCCGAGCTAAAACTCGAAGATTTGATCCGGCTTTTTTTAATGGGTGTATAATGGCTAAAAACTAAATCTGATCCTTTCTTTACTGTGTTCTCCCTCCTTTTGTCTATCCAAACAAACTTGTATTTCTACGCTGCTTTTATTTACAGCTGAGCTCTACAGTGTGAACTGGTTTGTAATATCAAAGTAATCTTTCATTCATATCACATCAGTAATTTAAGTCTTACAATTTTGTATTTATGACGCAATATTTAATGTATTTTTATGAAGTAGCTCAAAAATCTAATCAAAATTATGGTAATTACAACAATCTGACTTGCCGATACAGCTGATACAAAATGGTACAGTACTAAAGATCAGGATCATATCCCACAAACTTGAATGGGACATAGCATGGTCCCACTTAAAAATAATATTTACCTTGTGAGTCTGACTCACACGCTGTCTCATTGTCGCTGTCCATGTGCACATTCTCTGTAAGTTTGGGGTTAGAGGAAGGAGAATGAAGAATTAATTAGTAAAAGCACAATGCACTTAAATGTAGTCTGACATGCTCCAATAATGCCCTAGAAAAATATGTTTTTATATACAAGTACAATTACTTTGGAAACAGAAATGGTATTTCATGTATGAACATGTAAAAAAAGATTTTACCCTCAGGATCAATGCTGATGTCATCCAGGGTCTTGCCCTGGAATTCTGCCAGGCGTCCTTGCTCCAAGGCCATGAGAAGTTTGCTGATCTTAGCAAGCTGAAGGGTGCCCTCAGGAAGTCTGTAGAATTGCCGATGCACTCTTATGTCATGGCCGAGAAAATCTGCCAACAGATCCAGCTCTGTATTGGTGAGGTTAAGAACCTGAGACAGAGTTCCAGTTTGCTTGCGTAGTTTTGTAGAGGTGAGACTTTCAGGATTCTTTGCACCACAGGCCTTGGCAAAGTATCGAAGGCAATCAGAACCGCGGTAGCAGGTGAAAGCAGATGGTCTCGCAAACAAGTAAATGTTCTCCTTAGGAACCCCACATTCCTGCCGTGTGCCGACGAGCAGATCCAGTGCTTGCTGCATTGCTGGGGTCAAAAGCACAGGGACCTTTCTTCCCCTCTTTCCTCTTATCTCTATCCTCCTGAAGTATTTACATAGTTTCTTTTCTAGTTCTGACAGGGCAATATTTACATCTTCCTGAGGATGTGATGGATTTTGAGACAAATATGCAGATAGGGGCATTTTTGAAACTTCCCCTGCTCTACGTCGGTTAAACAAAATGACTTGTGTCAAAGTGACCTTTGCTAACTGTGACCATGTCTGGGGAGATTTATCTGCAGACAATTTAATGTGAACTTCTTGTTGTTGCACATCTAAATAAGAATGGAGAGTCTGGACATCTTTTGTAAATGGAAGCAACTGAGGAGCATTCCACTTGGATTCCTGAAGGGTTCTCAGTGATGCGGCAGAAATCAGTTCATTCCATCGGGTTTCATATACTCTGCGGAACGTACGAGCATCTTTAGCTGCTGAGTAGTTGCTCTGTACGTTTGCACGGCTTTCAACAAGCATTGACATCTTTTTCAAGCTATGTCCAATTTTAAGGGCAAGACTTGGGCACTTGTATGTATTGGTTTCACTGTCGAAGCCTGCCACATGTTTGACTGCTTGCACAACATACAAGAAATTGATGGGTTTGACATGGTCTTGAATAGTCTTTAAGGGAGTAGTTTTCCTCGAACATACCAGAAGCCTTCCAAGCTCCCTCAGTTTCTGCCGTATGTATTCATGCTTGCCAACATCATATCCAAGCCTGTTATACAGGTGCTCACCATACTCCATGATACATACATCAGATTTGACAGCAATGTAAACATCATCTTGAACCATGTTGTTTAACAGCTTCCAAAACTCTATCTTGACGCCAGGTGGTGGAGGTACTGCAAATGCAGACAGGGCCTGGGCACGGGTTTTGCCAGGTTTTTGTGGAACATCGGGTTTGAACTTGCAGATCTTCATGTGCCGCCAAAGGAGTTTCTTGTTGAACAATCCTTGACAATAAACACAATGGAGGAAATTCTGTGCTTGAGAGTCCTGTTTGGGTTGCTTGCGAGAAACAAGATTTCCAACGCCAGCATTTAATACCTCAACATTGTGGGCGAAGTTGCCTCTGTTTCTTAAATGTTCCAAATGCATTCTTCTTTCTTTAGAACCTTTTGGGAAGGACAAAGCCTGTGCAACGTCAGGCTTATTGTGATGCGCACGCTCCAAATGCCTTGCTATTTTTCCAACTCCTATCTTACAGTACAAACAATATTGCTTTTTGTTGTACATTCTTGACCCATCCTCCTTTTTACAAACGGCAGGTATGCAAGGTGAACGTGAACCTTCAGCTACTTTGTTTTCTGTAAGAAGGGAAGAGGCCCCATCAGGAAGATTTGGTTCAACTTCATGTGTCGAGTTTTCAGATACGGATCCAGTGTCGCCAACTATACTCTGTTTTAACGATTTACCCCCTATGGTTCGTGTTGTGGGACAGGATCCACTGCCTAAACATTGTCTTTTGCGTTTAATAATGGAATTGCTATCTCTTCTTGAGGGGGAGCGTCCTCTCTTGGGCACCTGCTGTGAAGAACTACTGTTCACTTGGGTTGGTAAGAGACATTCATCACTGATGTGAGACAGCTTTTGAAAGTATTGGCGTCCAAGCATGCTGTCTTTTTTGTGGACTATGTCAATAACTTCGCTTGTGTCTGTACCAGAAGAGTCTTCACTCGTTTTAGGAATATATTCCTCTCCACTGTCCGCTGAGCTGGGGTCAAAGAGCTCATCTGAATCAAACTCAATCTGGCTGGTCATCTTAAGAAAAGAAATTATAAATTACTTCACCTATTAAACAATTGCTATTCAGACTTTAAATTACAATGTATTGAAACCACCAGTAACAACATATAAGGATTAGTACATTGATCATCTCTACATAAATGTTGCTTACCTGTATGCTTTTAGTCCTCCTCAGCATTGGGAAAATATCTTTGTCTTCTTTGAGTTCAATGTCAGTACCTGGACTCCATGCCTGGAGTGTCCAAAATAAATGTATGTAGTTGGCATTTGTACCAATAAATCAATAGAAATATATATGATACATAATACATGAATACACGAAAAACTGAATGTATGACAATACCTGAGAGCTATCGTCATGGATGGCAATTCGGGACGGACTCTGAGATTCGTCTGAATCTGTGTAGTTTACAAGGGAAACCATCATCCCATATTTTTTCTTTAAAAGATAGGACTCTGTTTCACCTAAATGCTAAAGAAAAGAAAACATAGTAAAGAATATGCTAACATAACACGCAAACATTGATGTATGTATATGAACTAGCATTAAGAAAACTGAAAACGTTTGATATTTCTTTCATAACATGTACCATTTCATTGAGCAACGTGACATTAGATTTGTGTCAATATAGAGCAAAGCCATTACTTTAGCTTCTGGCTGAATCTATAACAGTGAATGAAATATAAAAAATAAATTATTCAAATGTTGAAGTGCTTTTTCAAATTAATTAACTTATAATCATATGGAAAGAGTAACGGCTGACATTGTTAATATAAGTATACATTTAAAAAAAACATTTAAATATCTTGATTTAAAAACGTATGAAAAACATTTCAATGATTTATTAGGACTAAAAAATGAATTACAGATAAATATTAAATTATCTTTCTTTTAAATGTTTACTTTATCATCCAATTACCATGGACCCCACAACAACAGGACCCCTGACATGTGTGTGTGAAACTACTCTGCTATAAGCCCTCTGACTGGACCCCATTTAATCACAAAAACCTGACTGTGTTCAGCAGCACACATTCAGAGATACACTGATCTACAGAAAAGCCAATTGAACCATCAAATGCCAATACCAAATATCAATAAAGCAGGACATTTGTAAATACTGAATTATTAGGGAAATGTAGTCAAGGGGAAAATCCATTGAAGACATACCTGTGTGTCGGAGATTGAAGATCTCTGAGGAGCTGGCTCACTCGTACTGGGGATCTCAGCCTCAGAAGACTCGATGGCAGTAGCTGGCTCTCCAACCTGAAGAATAATTCAACATTATTAATATATTGTTTCAATGCAACAACACTAAACGTGAACAGAAAACCTACACACAATGAGTAAGGAGGTATTGGATAATGTTTATGTGACTCATAATCGTTTTTAATATGATATGTTAGGTTGGCTCTGGTATCTGCTATAAATATGTTGCCTCATGTAACTCAAACAGTTAAAAAGAGGTGTAGGTGGAGTCTGGGAGCATGAATTGACCTCTCACCAACAGCTGGTATGAATGGTACAAAGCAAACTGAGCTAACGTTAGAGCACACATGTCAAACATGATGCTTCACCAAGTTTATGGTCAGAAAAACCAAAAGAAGTGTAGTTGAATGTGGTGATAGTAACACAGTAACGTGGACCCCACAACAACAGGACCCCTGACATGTGTGTGTGAAACTACTCTGCTTTAGTCCCTCTGACTGGACCCCATTTAATCACAAAAACCTGACTGTGTTCAGCAGCACACATTCAGAGATACACTGATCTACAGAAAAGCCAATTGAACCATCAAATGCCAATACCAAATATCAATAAAGCAGGACATTTGTAAATACTGAATTATTAGGGAAATGTAGTCAAGGGGAAAATCCATTGAAGACATACCTGTGTGTCGGAGATTGAAGATCTCTGAGGAGCTGGCTCACTCGTACTGGGGATCTCAGCCTCAGAAGACTCGATGGCAGTAGCTGGCTCTCCAACCTGAAGAATAATTCAACATTATTAATATATTGTTTCAATGCAACAACACTAAACGTGAACAGAAAACCTACACACAATGAGTAAGGAGGTATTGGATAATGTTTATGTGACTCATAATCGTTTTTAATATGATATGTTAGGTTGGCTCTGGTATCTGCTATAAATATGTTGCCTCATGTAACTCAAACAGTTAAAAAGAGGTGTAGGTGGAGTCTGGGAGCATGAATTGACCTCTCACCAACAGCTGGTATGAATGGTACAAAGCAAACTGAGCTAACGTTAGAGCACACATGTCAAACATGATGCTTCACCAAGTTTATGGTCAGAAAAACCAAAAGAAGTGTAGTTGAATGTGGTGATAGTAACACAGTAACGTGGACCCCACAACAACAGGACCCCTGACATGTGTGTGTGAAACTACTCTGCTATAAGCCCTCTGACTGGACCCCATTTAATCACAAAAACCTGACTGTGTTCAGCAGCACACATTCAGAGATACACTGATCTACAGAAAAGCCAATTGAACCATCAAATGCCAATACCAAATATCAATAAAGCAGGACATTTGTAAATACTGAATTATTAGGGAAATGTAGTCAAGGGGAAAATCCATTGAAGACATACCTGTGTGTCGGAGATTGAAGATCTCTGAGGAGCTGGCTCACTCGTACTGGGGATCTCAGCCTCAGAAGACTCGATGGCAGTAGCTGGCTCTCCAACCTGAAGAATAATTCAACATTATTAATATATTGTTTCAATGCAACAACACTAAACGTGAACAGAAAACCTACACACAATGAGTAAGGAGGTATTGGATAATGTTTATGTGACTCATAATCGTTTTTAATATGATATGTTAAGTTGGCTCTGGTATCTGCTATAAATATGTTGCCTCATGTAACTCAAACAGTTAAAAAGAGGTGTAGGTGGAGTCTGGGAGCATGAATTGACCTCTCACCAACAGCTGGTATGAATGGTACAAAGCAAACTGAGCTAACGTTAGAGCACACATGTCAAACATGATGCTTCACCAAGTTTATGGTCAGAAAAACCAAAAGAAGTGTAGTTGAATGTGGTGATAGTAACACAGTAACGTGGACCCCACAACAACAGGACCCCTGACATGTGTGTGTGAAACTACTCTGCTATAAGCCCTCTGACTGGACCCCATTTAATCACAAAAACCTGACTGTGTTCAGCAGCACACATTCAGAGATACACTGATCTACAGAAAAGCCAATTGAACCATCAAATGCCAATACCAAATATCAATAAAGCAGGACATTTGTAAATACTGAATTATTAGGGAAATGTAGTCAAGGGGAAAATCCATTGAAGACATACCTGTGTGTCGGAGATTGAAGATCTCTGAGGAGCTGGCTCACTCGTACTGGGGATCTCAGCCTCAGAAGACTCGATGGCAGTAGCTGGCTCTCCAACCTGAAGAATAATTCAACATTATTAATATATTGTTTCAATGCAACAACACTAAACGTGAACAGAAAACCTACACACAATGAGTAAGGAGGTATTGGATAATGTTTATGTGACTCATAATCGTTTTTAATATGATATGTTAGGTTGGCTCTGGTATCTGCTATAAATATGTTGCCTCATGTAACTCAAACAGTTAAAAAGAGGTGTAGGTGGAGTCTGGGAGCATGAATTGACCTCTCACCAACAGCTGGTATGAATGGTACAAAGCAAACTGAGCTAACGTTAGAGCACACATGTCAAACATGATGCTTCACCAAGTTTATGGTCAGAAAAACCAAAAGAAGTGTAGTTGAATGTGGTGATAGTAACACAGTAACGTGGACCCCACAACAACAGGACCCCTGACATGTGTGTGTGAAACTACTCTGCTTTAGTCCCTCTGACTGGACCCCATTTAATCACAAAAACCTGACTGTGTTCAGCAGCACACATTCAGAGATACACTGATCTACAGAAAAGCCAATTGAACCATCAAATGCCAATACCAAATATCAATAAAGCAGGACATTTGTAAATACTGAATTATTAGGGAAATGTAGTCAAGGGGAAAATCCATTGAAGACATACCTGTGTGTCGGAGATTGAAGATCTCTGAGGAGCTGGCTCACTCGTACTGGGGATCTCAGCCTCAGAAGACTCGATGGCAGTAGCTGGCTCTCCAACCTGAAGAATAATTCAACATTATTATTGATAAGACGGTGCATTTACCTGATCCAAAAATTAGAAGGTAGAAACAACTGTTAGTCTAAATGCGAGGAAAGAGAATAACTCCTAATCTAATATTTACTAACACACCCATAAGAAAATAAATCGTTGTCAAATCTACTTGAAATTTTGCAAATATATTTTTCAAACCTGTTTTCTCCAAGGCCAATCAGTTCCTCCGTAATCGTATATTATCTCTTCTCCAGGATTAATGTCTCGAAGAGCAAAGAGACAGAGGTGTGGCTTGTTCTCTGCCATGACCTTCTTCATTTTGCAGTTTGGATGTTTGTGGTCATCATTGACTAATCTTCCTAGACTGGAATCTTCTTGTGCAGCATCAACACTTAATAAATAAAAATAAACCACGTTTTATGTTCATAAAATAACAACTTGCAACTCAATTTCAAATATGTAAAATTGTATTTAGGACTTACCACCATGTTCTTTCTTGCCAGTAGAAGTCAAACATAAAGACAGCACAGCTGACATGATATATCCTCCTCCTCTTTTGTGATTCTTCAGAATGTATTAATTCCCCTCTGTACTCCACCACAAAGTCTCCTTTTTGGAAATGAGAAGTGGCAAAGACCCCTCGACCTATCCCAATTACAGGTTATTATTAAAATGATTAAATGTACAGTTATTCATCTTCTTGCCATGGTTTTTTATTAAAATCCACCAAAACTAGAGTTTTATATTTATAGTAATAATAGTTATTAGCTCTGGTTTGGTTTATACATTATCCTGGCACACTAGACCAGGCAAACAATTCAGCTTTCCCACCCTTCAATACAACATCTCTCAATAGTATGAGGATGCAATTAATGCAACAGTACTTTAATCAATGAACTCTAAGTACTAGTAAGGTTGTAGGATCTGATAAAACTTTGAACATAAAAACACAAATTGTACTGATGACAAAAAGACATACCTTTAAAAGAGTTGATGTACATCACTTCCAATTTTGCAGTCTTGTCAACTGCCTCGCTTGCATGTTCGATCGCATCCTTGAGGGGGGGTTTCCTGCGTCTCAGTCCCGCCATAGTGTATCCTATAATCAAAAACAATGAAGCGTTAATGTGACCAGACACCACCATAATTATTGCAATTCATTCAAATACTTTAAGTATTAGACAACTACATCTAGTTGATGGATTGAAGTAGGGCTGCTCGATTATGGCAAAAATCATAATCTCGATTATTTGGGTCAATAATTGATATCACCATTATTAAAAACGATTATCCATTTACCTTGAAAACATCAATTTATTGGAGAAAAAAAATGTGAACAGTATGTTCTAACAGTTGATTACCCTGAACTGTAATTACAATTCAACTGAAAAACCAATAAAAAAATAATTTCCAAAAAAATAAATAAAAATATAATCGTTTTATTTCAATTACATTGTTTTCGTAATCGTTGCAAGCCATAATCGTAATTGCGATTAAAATACGATTAATTGAGCAGCCCTAGATTGAAGCAGACTAAGCAGGTGTTTCAATGCTAGCAACGTTAGCTAACGTTAGCTAGCCTGCTAACATGAGGTAGCAATCTCTCCAAAGTGAAATTATTAATATACAAAACCTGTTGCTATAACTGTTTTTTACTGAGTTACTTCATGTTGATTGCTACATTTTAAAGCATGCAAACACATTTTCATAGTCTGAATGTAAGCTACCTGGTTAATGTTCAGTAACATATGTGCCTTTAAAATAATAACTCACCTTTTTAGCTACGATCCCACTGCCAGTGAAGTGCAAAACGAAATTCACGTGGTTCTGTCCTCATATGGAGCGCTTGTTTTAAAGAGTCAGCACATCCTGTAAGGGTGGTCATGCTATCACAATGAGAATTCCTGTCTCCGCCCACCAGGAATGTCCCAATATTAAATCAAGGTGACCCAATCTGACCATTAAAACAAGGCTAATATTAAGAACATTTTTATTTGTATTTTATATATATATATATACAGGGATGTAAACTCATCAGGTATGAAAAAGGTGACAAGTGCAATATCTGAGTAATCTTTTACTCAAGCACAAGATCTGAGCACTCTTAGAACATAATATTTTAGCATTTTGCAAATGTTTAGCTTGTCTATGGCGTTTTCAATGTTAAGTTAGCATTTATGCTAACGGTTAGCTTGTCTAAGCCGATTTCAATGTAAAGTTAGCATGTATGCTAACGTTTAGCTTGTCTATGGCATTTTCAATGTTAAGTTAGCATTTATGCTAACAACAGCTGTAGTCTGTAATCTCTCAAATCTTTTTATATTTGTTATTTACATAATTAATGATTAATGATTCATTGCTTGTTATTGTGACAACACAAGTCAAACTCACCAAAAATGTATATATTTGTGTTTTTAATTCTGTATTTCATTAAAGACACTAAGCTAAGGAGCTAAGTGCTACCAGCTAATCAAACAGCTCAATATGTTGGAAGATGGCTGCTTGCACATGCGCAGTTCAGCAAAGTGTGTGTGGAGAATGGAATGTGTGTGTGGGATGCAGTACCTGCCTTGGCCAGTAGTGGCTGATACTGAGTTACCTCCTGTTAGCACACTTATACACACTAAGTCGGTAAAAGTGATTTTTGGGGACAACCCTGAAAACTTCACAGGGCATAGTTCTGACCTTAATTATAATGAATATGAGGTAAAATTTGTGGGGTCCAGGGTTTTGGACCCCACAAAAAAATTGGACCCCACGGCGTGACTGGGCTGTCTGATGCATGGCCACACAATGTAATAATGACAAACACACACACACACACACACACACACACACACACACACACACACACACACACACACACACACACACACACACACACACACACACACACACACACACACACACACACACACACACACACACACACACACACACACACACACACACACACACACACACACACACACACACACACACTTTTCGAATCAATTATATTTCAAATTATGATTTTTTTTTTTTTTTTTTTTAAATAACCATTTATCCTCCTGGTCTCTCGCGCCCCCCACTTTGGGAACCACTGCTGTACAGCATGAAGACCACAGCAACACATAATCCTCTGCAGTCCTCTTGTGGTGAAAGTGTGACAGATCTTACATGGATTTACCGTGGCTGTGACTTTGTCCCCGTCGGAGATGAAGGCCCTGAATCCCTCCCCAAACACAACTCCTGCCGTCCTGCCGGGAACAAAACACAATTATCACACTGCCTCCAATGTGGAAACCTCGCTTGCTGACACCCTCTGGAATTTCACTTCCAGCTGAGGGAGATATTAGGAGATAGCATGCCAGTTACTCTGAGGATTAAGGACATTCATTTTGCCCTCACTTTATAGATTCAAGGACAGTTTGTCTGTGTTCAGCAGCTTTCAGGCGAATCTGTTCCCTGATGATGTCTGCGTTTTCCCTCTCCACCTGGGCTTGGGCTTTGGACTGCGCTTCAATGCGGAGCAGGTCGTTCTTGTGTCTCAGCTCCATTTCATGTTGAATGGTAGCTAGGAGAAAAAGGCAGATTTTATTAACTACATTCTTTTGACCACTTCTGACAGGGGTGTATATTTGATTGACTTTAACTAGTGTGGAATAACCTAACACCATGGCAAAACTAGATTGAACTGATTTAAAAAAGGTAATGTTCATTTGTGCTTATTGACTGTTCTAATGTGAAAATGTGGACGTTAAGTAATGTAATTGTCATTAGAGTGGTCTTTTACTGAAATAATAGTAGTCATATTTTCAAGACAATGGCATTTATAACTTGGGACATAAAATGTTTGTTATAAAATGCAGACAGATCTACTAAATCATTTATAGTTTTTGGTCTATTACGTAAGCATTTTAATTGTCTCTCGTTATGTTCTATTCATGTCTCCGTCTGTTCCTTTTGTTTTATTTCTAAGTGTAACATTTAACAGTGTGTTCGTCTAAAAGAGCGCATAGGGTCAGTCAACCTATAAATAAATATTAAAGCCACATTAATTCAGTTTGGAGCTTGGCCCCTCAAGAAATAACAAATACAAATAAATAAAAAAAGGATACAAATATTTATTTCTATCCTTTTATTTCACGTTATGAGTAATGTTAATGCAAAGAATATACATGGAAGTAACATGTAAAAAAAAGTAAGAAAATTGGTATAATGAATACTTTATATTCCAGCATCCTTGTATCTTTAATTTTTTTCTTAAATATTTGCAAAAAATACATTTACATATTTATTACTCCTCATTTTCACATTTATTTCCTACGACTCAAAAATTAACACAAGTTTTTTAAGGTCTTTTCGTGTCCTTCTGATTCGTTGTTTTATTAAAGAAACAAAGAAAGGGATTAACCTAGCAAATAAGAGCAGAGAACGGATACAAATGTCTAATGAAGTGCTGATTCACCATTTTATTAAATACTAATGTTAATATTTTGTTTTGTCTTGAAACTCCAATGGGTTGCTGATCAAGAGCCCTATCGATGCCTGCACATTCATCATGTCTTTGCTTGAGAGGCACAAATCCTACTTATTGCATCTTTAAGTGGAGTAATAAAGACGTTTTGGCATGAAATTATGAGTGGATGAATAATGTGTAAATGTATTTGGTTGTTTTTCATACATTTTCTCATGGACTCCTGCTTCAAGACCGACTCCTCTTGTTTGCGAAGGTTCTCCTCGTTGAGAAATTGCTGTGAATAAATAAATAAATAAATCAGTGAATACTCCCTTCAGGAATTCTGTTTGTTCAAGAGTTAATTTAATAAGGTTTACCTGTTGCCTGAGCTGTTCATCGTACCTCTGTCTGGCAAGCTTGTCTTGAAATTGTGCCCTCTGGGGGTGAGATGGAAAATAACACATCACATTTACATGTGTTCCAGATGAAACATATCTTTGTGGGCTTTTGGTTATTTTTTTCATTCCTTACCGCCTGGTTCTGCTTTGTCTCCTCTACCAGTGTTTTGCGTCTCTCCTCGGCCTGGAGATGTATCTGCTCACCCTTCAACTGCTCCACAGCCGCCTCATATTCCTGTTGAGGAGTTTGGTTGTGTTATATTTCCTGACATCAGGGTTTAATATCAGTTAACAACACAATAGTGTTGTTCATACAGTCACATAGACTCCCTTTTACAATCCCTATTCCAATACTTACTTTAACTTTACTCTCATGCTCCAGCTGTACAGTCTTCTCCTGCATACGAGCCAAACTAAGCGCTTCTTTGGCATGTCCTTGAAATGAAAAATATATAAAACAGTAAGTGGTGGTGCTTTATTCATTAAACTATTTACTTTTTTTTTTTAACACCAAGACAATTATAGTTGTACTTTTCAGAATAACATGCTTTTAACTGCCACTACAATATGTGGACCTGTTTGTCAGTGTGTTTATAGAGAGCATAACAGACAGTTAAGAAGGTGAATGAAAAAAAGGGTACTGTATGTTCTTCACGCCCATACAGTTAACAGCAGTAGGCATGGTCATACTGACATCAAGGCCTTAACGTATGGGACAGGTGAGGCGCTGCGCTCGAGGACACTTTGTTCCATCTGCTCTCCCTGTCACGCCCCCCAAAGCTCTCCAACTTTGTTGCAGATTGTGCGGAGGTCAAACAGGCTAACACACTTGTAGTAGCAAACGTGTGCTACACGTTAAATAATTCAGTAGACTGCTTTGTTCCGCTCCCCCTCAAACAAAAGAACAAAGAAGCCATAATGACCCCCAAAGTGCACATACTACACAACTTATTTAAAACGAAATATCTGTTACAGAACACATTGTTTTAAACTGCAGCCAGACCTTGGACTCTAGTGTTTGATGGAGTTAAACCAGCTTAAAAAGTTGAATGAAATGCTATCTATTTTGTGATGCTAACTTCGAGATGTGTATGCCGAAGTAAATAGTTAAACCCAAAAGCTAAGCAGTGACCATGAAACATAATGTTTAAAGACTGCACATTTGCCAAGTATACATTTAACATTTAGCTTCACATTTTTTTATGGAATTCGGCGCGATGGACTCATCAGAAAAGAACAGAGCGTACTAACATGCGAAAGTCTGTCTAAACTAGAAACAAATGAAAATATCAAAGAAACAATGAAAGGAGTTAAGTACATTTGTAACATGCTAGAAAAATAAGCACGCACGTGATTTGTCGAGTTCCCTTGCAGCTTTTGCAGCTCTCTCCAGCCCAGTCGGGTCGAAGTTGCTCCACTTGTCCCCGGCTCTGCCTCCCCCTGAACCTCCTGGTGCTCCCCCGGCTCCTTCAGCTGCAGCAGCCGTTACCTGCTCCTCCAATGACGGCGAACCGGAGCCCCCCCACCAGCCGAAGAGCCACGACATGGTGCTTCAATTGTGTCCGAGCAACAGGCTGCACTTTCGGGATTCAGAGCCTCTACTGTGGCGGTGGTAGTCTACCCGTGCTTCTGAGAGTCAAGTATAACAACAGGTGAAAGGAACTTCCGGTCAATACTTTCAAACTAAAACGAGTACAGAATAATTTATTTCTGTTTTAAGGTAATTGTGTATATCAATAACAGATAAAGGGAAATTAAAATGCACTTAAATAAATAATATCTTGAAAATGCAGTCAGATTATTTTTACACAGAGATGTCAGTTTGGTTCAACTCATGTTTGTTGACTGAAGTGCTAAATAATTACTCCACCTTTTATTTTTTGTGTATGCTTTTATTTTGAAAACATAAGCAATCAAAATCACTGCAAGCTTTAGGTTGTGACGCGACCTTGGGACTGATTGTACATTACATCTATTATTTTCTCATCACTATTATGCATACATATTATTTCTGTATATTAATCAGAATTTCTCTAAAACAATATTAAATGTTAGCGTAATTTAGCCCAGTGTGTTTTTCTAACCTCTTTCTGCATTATGTACAATTTATTATCCTTGTTATGTCTGAGTTATGTTGAGTATTTTTGAAAATCCAAGTAAAATTGAACATGTTTACCATGTGAGGTCCAGGGATTCTTCCTTATTTTATTGTTTCTTTTATATTCGTATAAGTGTTTTCGATAGTTTTACAATCCAGACTGGAATGAATAACATCGACAACATTTTTGAGAGTCTTTGCCAGGGGAAGAGTATGGGCAGCACGATAGGTTGTGTACACTAATATAATGAGAGGTGCAGGTTATTTCTTATATGGAAAGTCAGTCATGACTGTTACATTTTATTGACCATGTGTCATTAATAAAATTACAATCTACATAAGTAATTTAAGTCTTTCCCTCGACCTTCACATGTATTACCACCCAGGGGCGGACTGGCCATTGGGAATACCGGGAGTTTCCCCAGTGGGCCGGAGGGCCAAAAAAAAAATGCCTAAATCCTACCGGCCCACATTTGTAAGTGTTCCGGCCACTCCCTTTTTTTTTTTTGCTTACCTAAATCCTACCGGCCCACATTTGTAAGTGTTCCAGCCCAGCCCAGCCCAGCCCAGTGGGGTGTGGCCCACTGGGCTGGGCCGTTTTGATAGGCTACCTTTGTTCTATCTATCAGTTTCAATGGGTTGGCAGGGAAACGGGGTTCAGGGGGAGTGGCTGTACCCGTAGGATAGAAAAGGGGGAAGTGATGTCTGACTCAGAGGTCGCGCGGCTGTGGAGAACAACGTGTTGCCCACATTCTGTTACTGGGTTTAAGCTAGTTAGCTAGCAGGTTTATTGTTTTGGGTGCAGTCACTTTTGCCTCCACTTGCTGTTCAAATAAATGTTGAAAGAAAAAGTAAATCTGTTTACAGTTCTGTTTTATATGGGTGTTGAAGAAGAAGAAGAAGAAGAAGAAGAAGAAGAAGAAGAAGAAGAAGAAGAAGAAGAAGAAGAAGAAGAAGAAGAAGAAGAAGAAGAAGAAGAAGAAGAAGAAGAAGAAGAAGAAGAAGAAGAAGAGAAGAAGAAGAAAGAAGAAGAAGAAGAAGAAGAAGAAGAAGAAGAAGAAGAAGAAGAAGAAGAAGAAGAAGAATTAGGAGGGATGAAACCCTCTTTAATGGTCACACATGCAGAGCACACAGCACACACAGTGAAATGTGTTCTCTGCTTTTAATCCATCCTAGTACCAGGAGTCTAGTACTAGGAGCAGTGGGCAGCTATTGTACAGCGCCCGGACAGCAATGGGAGTGAGGGGGGAAGGGGGATGTCCAGTGCCTTGCTCAAGGGCACCACGGCAGGGCAGGAGGTGAACTGGGACCTCTCCAAGTAGAAGTCCACACTCCAAATGTAGGACTGGTCGGGGACTTGAACCGGCGACCCTACGGCTCACAGTCCAAGACCCTACTGATTGCCATAGATTTAGTCCCTAATTTTGCTCTCAAAGTGCACCAGATTGATGCATTTAACTTCAACATTTAAAAAAAAATCTTCCCGGGGGAGCTTGCCCCCGGACCCCCCTAGAGGAGGTGAGGTCCACCACCTGCCCACACCCCCTGTTAAATTGTCTCACCTACATTGAGGATGCTTCCTACGCCCATGTTTTATTCCATGTGTCAAGTCAGGCAAATTGGGTCAAAATGTTATTGCATCAAAGATCTGTTAACATTAAAATCACTAAATATATGCTGTAACTATTTTGCTCTAGGCAACTCAAGGGCTCAGGTAATGTGATTACTATATGAATTGTCCAAAATAACATAAAATGCATAGGGTTTTTTGTGAAGTAACATACTTTCGTCGCCGGCCCGGCCGATACATGCCGCGCATTAAGTGGGCCTGTCTGTCAATTAATCCCCGGGCCACTTTTCCCCCCCAGTCCGCCCCTGTTACCACCTGAATAGTGTATTGTGTACATCTCTTTACCGGTAATGTCATGCATATTGAATGAGAACAGATTGGCAGTCGTAACATTTACTGCATACATGACATGGACATATACTTCAATAACGCAGAGTGGCTCCTATTCCTAACAAACGATAGGGGCTCTAGAAAGGACTGTAAATATTATTTTAGACGAAACATAAGTGGTAAATCAGTAACAGCTTACTGTTATGTAACATGTATACAAAGTGGATGGATGAAGGACATATTAACCCTTCTCTTGCGTTTCGGGTCAAAAGTGACCGAATGACTTTTATTTTAATCTTAAATATTGTGTTTTTCATCCAATTGCCTCAATAACTTATGTTATCCTCCACACTAGGCCTCTGAACATATACACTTGATGATCACCACTTGCATTGAATTTTGAGTGATTTATTCAACAGTGAAACACCCTTGACGTTAACAGTCAGATTTGACCGCCATAGAAAATGAATGGGTATGAGTGTATTATGTTCATCCTGCAGATGGAAAACATCTATATACACACACACGTGACGGGAACTTCTCCCTTTCTCGCGCTACAATGTATCATACCTTCTCACAGGTGCGAGCTCTGTGTGTGAGGATCTGCAGTACTTCCTCCTTCTTTTCCCCCTGTCTGTGTTTGTTTTGTCCATAGAGGCTTCTCAATACTCAAATTTTCCCTCCTCGACTCCTCGGTCCTCCGGTAGTGACCCGGAAATGAATTTCAGCGTGCCATTTTGAAGGACGTCTCATTTCTCTAAATGCACACCGAGGACCGAGCATCGAGCGTCGAGGAGGCTCTCTGGAGGAGCTATAACCGAGGATACACTGATGGTTCCTCCACGGCTCCTCCGCGGATGCATTTCCGGGAACGGTGGAGGCGTGACGCACGGCCGGACTTATCTCAGCCAATGACAGCTCTGCATGCATCCTCTGGATATTATTTTAGAAACTGCTTTCATCGCGTTGCGATGTTTACAGTGAGAACAGCTGTGAGGTCCGTGCAGAAAGCAGAGCAGTGTACAATATCACTCAGTATAACAGGCCTACATTACTCTCTTTATTTGCTGTAGTACAAAGAGTCGATATTTTTCTAAGACCATTTAGTGCGTCACATAATAAAATACACAACGGCTGTAGCCTGATTATGCTTTAGGACAGGCATCCTCAAACTACGGACTCCGGTCCGGATCCGGACCGAACCACCACTGTCTCCGGACTCTGAGCAAATTATACTTTTCATATGTATGATCTCTCTGTATTATATGTGAGACATCGCCGCAACGAGTAAAAATTCTCCGCTATGTCCACTGCAAACAGCGCTCTGCATGTCTGACTGTTCCACTGTGTTCCACCTGTGTGTGTCAACGCTTTAGTCCAATCACATTCAGCATCCAGTCAGCGTTTTTCCCCCCCAAACAATCTGCGAATCAGAGGCACAGTGGCACAGTAGGGTGGGTCTTCGCGGAATGCGGGTGGGAAAAATGTGTGTGTCTCTTTCAACCTGTCTAAGTCAGAGCGAGAATTAAAACAAAAACAATTCCATCTGTACTGTAGCTAGTAGCCTAGTTTCACCTACCGGGGTGGCAACTGACACCCTAAAAAGAGCCTTGCCACCCCAGCTGCCACCCCAGTTGGCAGCTTTGTTTTGAAAGAAAAGTTGTGGCTCATCGGACATTTATGAGAGAAAGTCTCTAATGTCCGAGTGCAAGTGAATGCAGCACAAGATGCACGTCATGTAACCCCTCCCCCGGTCCTGGCGCGAGCGTGGACATACGATTTGGCGGCGATTTCATTTTTAACTGCACGGCGCAAAACGAGAAGCATTCGGACCCAAGCACTGAAGGAATGAGGTATTTGCGGTCTACAATGACAGAGAAGAGACTGTCAGTTTGACTGTACTCAGCATTGAATCAAAACGCACTAAAGCTGTTGATCTTAATAAGTTTGTGAGGCGTTTCGCTGAACAAGATGGTAATCGCCGCATTCAGCTGTAATAGACATGTCAACTTGATGCTCTGCTCACGGATGAGCATACAAAACGATTAAGATGATGACCTTACGTGTGTAAATATATTGTTTTCTTTGAGGGGGTCTGCCCCCAAAAAACTGTTTTAAGTCCTGAGAAAGTCAAATAAGACGGTGTGTAAAACTACACTGCCCAGCCAAAAAAAAGTAACCACTTTGATTTAACTAGGCCAGTAGGTAAGGACTTTCCACTGGATAATAACTGCAGTATAAAAGAATGCATGACTGAAGTGATGGAGACCATGTTGAAGGCAAACAAAAAGAGGAAATAACAGGTCAAATGAAGCAAATCCCCTCTCAGATTGCACAGCAACCAGAAGAACATAAATACTGGCTGGTGATTTGATTCATCAGCTTTGTGATGGAATAAAAAATGCACAGTAACATTTCCTTAGCTGTGGGTGAGTCCACTGACACCACTGACAATGCTCAGTTGCTGGTGTTTGTGAGTTTTTATGATGAGGCAAAGGGGGAGTTTGTTGAAGATGTGTTGGGCCTGACGATCCTCAGTGGACACACAAGGGGGCAAGACATTTATAAAGCAATAATGGGAATGCTGAATGAAAGAGGGTGCAGCTGCCTTTATTCATAACTGTGCAGCTCTCACACTGCGACTCTGAGGGGTCAAGCACAGAAACAATAACAATGAAAACTGCTGCATACAGATTATTTTTGTTTTTGCAACCTCGTGTTAAGAAACTTGTTGCAATTGTTTAAAAGTTTGAATGACCGTAATAAACGGACCTTTGTCTTATTGAAACATTTATTTTGGACCTTTAAGATTTGTATTTGAGTACCCCTGATATACAGTAATGTAAAATAAGCACTATCTTTGAACTTACTGCCAAAAAGAATATGAAATTCACCCCTGGTGTCATTCTGTCTGTCATCCCTTGATTCTACTTGCTTTGACTGTTCAAATGAGATGTCAACCAACAAAATTGGATAAGGGGTTCTAGAGATATCACTGTGCAAAACACACTGGTCAATTTTGACCGAAAATAGCATGGGAAGGGGGGTATGACCTAACGCAAGAGAAGGGTTAAGTAACAATGCTTGCATGATTTAAATTTAAACTTTATTGAGATGGCCTAAAAATGAAATATCAATACAAATAGGAAATTAATTACAAAAATGTACAATATTAAAATATATTTAATAATGCAACAAATTCAGAAAAGGGTAGAAACAACTTTTTAAATCAACATATTTTTACCTAAAAGAAGAACCCTCAGAAGATATGGGCAAAGTCAAATAAGAATCATTATTATCATAAACCTATATGTAATATTTTGCACCTGACCTGTATAACACTGTATGTATGTGCTATCATGGGTACATAACTGACCCTGGTTTGTAGCAATGTGAGGCTCATACACAATGGTGCATTCAAATGCTGTCGGATGTATAGTCTATTCACGAATTAAGTCTACATTTACGAAACAAATAAGTGAAGCATGTGCATTTATCATTGTTTTTATAATGAAACATGACTTGCCGTAATCAAGTTTGAGGCTCGTTTGTACTATACAGCTGCAACGTTAATATCTGCGTACAAGTGTGTGGTCTGACAGCAGGATGAAAGAGCTCGGTGGGAGTCCGTGAAGGCAACAATCATTGTGAACGTCACGTAACATGGACTCACATAGAGGGCGGGGCTTATGCTTACGTAGAGTCTAGTTGAGACAAAACTGAACTGTCCTGTCTGCTCTGTAGAGTTTTACAGTAAACAACAAATATATACTTAAAGATGTCGGTGGTTAGTTTGGTCTTGAGTCGAAATGTTTTGGCCATTAGGAACTCTGGCATGGTGGTGGTGAGTACAGAATATCGTTATTAAATTCATCAAGGACATAGTATTAAAGCAGAAATGCCTCATGGGCTACTTTTAGAAGTGTGTATGTTAGCAAATAGGTGTTGGTGTGGATTTATTGACAGCTAGGTGTATGCTAAGCAACAGCGAATCACCCCAAACTGTGTAATGCTAGTTTTGTAATACAACGACATGTAACAACCCACCCTGCTCTTCCTGGCTAGGTGTGTAAATGTTAGTAATACTATTGGCTTTTCTGTAAAGTGTCAATTATTCGTGTAGTATTTACATTAAGCAGTCCACGTTTCATTATCATTATATTAAATGAGTAGTTAACCTGTTCATTGTTAGTGAGCTGAGCCTTTGTACAACCCCTCCCTCACATTTCCATCTTTCAGGGTTATATATCAAATCTAAAGGTTTATAGCAGTTAGGAAACACAAAGATTTCTTTACTACTCAACTTTTTAAAGAAATATTTAAGTTATTGGGCTGAACTCCATCTTTCATTGTCCTTAAAAAGTCAGTTAGGTAACCAAAGACTGCAAAGTGATGTAACACTGTCGTAGAAGTTCAGCCATACTACCACTAGGGGGAGACTCTTCCCTTTGTAATGCACATTGTGTAAACAGACTAACTAGCTAAAACATGAAATACTCTATTATTTTTGGTTTATTTGAAAGGGTGTCTTAAAGATTGTAATTGTAGTTTTAATATTTTACAAGATCTATAATAAATGTATAATTCATGATGTGGTTTTAAAGGCTTTCATTAGAACTACTTTTTATATTTTTGTGGTGGTTTTTTGTTATATGTTACTTTTGCTTTATTATGTTTCCTACTTAAAAGCACTCATTGGTAATGTTTAGGATTGTATAATGCAAATAAAGTGTACGTTTTGTAGTTGTTTGGTTTCGGTAACATGTATCCTCTTGTATTACAGGATAGAATTACCAGGTCTTATTTTAGCCTTTAGTTCATGTATACAGCAGCTAGGTCACATTATGACGTGGGCCTTTGTACATAACACTTGCTTGCACAGCTATTTATTTTATTTTAAGTACTAGAAATCATGCAGTATTTTCCATTTGAAATATCTCTTTGATTTATACAGCCTCTCTTTGCTTATTTTACAGATGGTACGGCATGCTCAGACGGCCGCGGCCCCGGCCCCTGAACCCAGGATCAAGAAGTTCCAGATTTACCGCTGGGACCCAGACTCTGCTGGCAACAAACCACGAATGCAGACATATGACATAGATCTCAACAGGTGAGTTGTAATTCCATGATAATTGTCAAGTCTTTTAATCTTTATGTGATCAATTCCATTGACCTGCTTCTTCTGTTCTAGCTGTGGTCCAATGGTTCTGGATGCCCTCATTAAGATCAAGAATGAGATTGACCCCACACTCACATTCAGACGCTCCTGCCGTGAAGGTAAGTCACAAATTGAAAAAGAGCTTGCACATAATAATGTAAACAATTTCCAAAGATAAAAACAAATTAGATATACCTTTATAATTATATTGTTAATATTTATGTGTACACAAATAAGACTGAATTAGATAGGTCAAGAAGCCACAAGCTTTAAAACAAAAACTCCACTCAATTAAAGGACAAAAACAACAAACAGCAAAAAAACATAAACATAATTTATTAAAATACAACCAAATATATCAGATTTAATTTAACTTTGTGCCTGATGTAAATGAGTGCCACTGATATTGTTTATTTTTTTCTTGTCGGTTTCAAGAGTTTTTTGATAATGTTATTACGTGTTTAGTAATCCTTTATGTTTTTATATAAGATATTTGTTTGATCGCTATTGATTGGTTAGCTTGGGTCACATGGATATGGGCAGCACTCATTATAATCCTGTTCACCTGTGTGAGGTGTGTGTGGAAGAGAGGGGGACACAGGGCCGTTCAGCAAGTACT